CCCCAAGTCTCTGACGCTCCCCCAACCCTGCCAGTGTTCGACCAGCGCACCAGCACGCTCTACGTCAACATCCGCCAGACCTTTGCCGTCTGGTTCATCCCCCTGTACTCGGCGCGCGTGCGCCTCCTCACCGTCCTGACCCTCGAGCGGCGCACCTCGTCCTCCGCCTCGGCCTCCCGCGCCGCCCTCTCCGGCCCCGGCCAGGAACGCGCCAAGTACTACATCTCCGCCCAGGAGGACCTGTACCAGATGAACGACTGCGTGCAGTTCCTGCTGCCCCGCGTCGGCCGCTGGCTCTGGCTGCTGTGGCAGCTCTTCAGCACCTCGCTGTGCGTGCTGGGCGCCCTCGCGTTTCTGCCCGTGTACTACCTCCTCAACGGGGGCAAGACGGCGAAAAAGGTGGCCTAATCAAGAAATTCTGCTTGTCGTGCTTTGCTGGCGTTGGTGGCGTTGCGGGCACCGGATCAGATTGTACGGATAGTCTTGTTTAATGAGAGTGAATGCCAACAAGGTACAACATTAGTATTTCGAATCTCAGTGATATGATCTACGGGATATATTCCTACCGTTTCTCCGGGAAAATAGCCCATTTCCCAACCCATCTACTTCAAAACATAATCTATTAAGAATAAATAAAAAAATTCAAACGCTATGCTAGCCGAAATCGTCCCTCGTATATAAATCACCTCCCCTGCCTTCTCTTCATGTCCTCCTGCGCCGACGTCACGATGCCCACCGCCTCGGCAACCACGTCGTGACCCGTGCGCCACGTATACAGCGCAACGCCCTGGTGATCCAGCTGCTCGTGGGCCCGGGCCAGCCTCCTCCTCCACAGCTCGAGCTTCTTATTTACACCTTGGGCACCCAACGTCGGCGAGCCAGAGGGCGTTGACGATCCTGACCGCGATCCGGAGCGGTAGTAGCTGAATCCAAACGACGGCGGGGGCGCAGCAGCCGACGGCGGCAATGGTTCAAAGTCGACGTCGGCATTGGACGATGACGCTCCTCTGCCAAAGAGACGCGGGCTGATGCTCTTAAGTCCGGATCGACGTCTGGGCAGCGGAGGAGGGGCAGGCTCCTGTTCCAGCGGCGCAGGTGTTGACGAGTCCTCCGTGGTCTGGGCACCGTCTTGACCTGCGCTGATTATGGTCGTGAGAGGCTGAAGGCCAGCCGCCCCGAGGCCCTGCGGTCGCTTTGGTTTGGGCGGCGGCATCTCGGCTTTGGCGCCGCCATTCGACGCGTTGGCATTCGAGGGTGCGCTTCGCAGCGCGGCTGGCTTTGCTGGTCGAGGAGGCGGCGGCTTTCGTCCAGCAAGCGCGCTCGTAGCAGCGCCGGCTGGCCGACCCAAGTTGGCCATCTTGACCTGCGCAAGCGCCGCGGCTTCATCCAGCTTCACCTCTCCGGGCTCATCGGAAAAGTCAATCAGCGTTCCCATGACGGGTCCCGAAGCTGCCTGTGTTTCACCCACAGCACCTGGCGCTGAATTCTGCCGGCTTGCCGACTTAACGCTTCCCGGCCTACCGTCATCCAGCGTCATGCTCGATATTTTACGATGAGTAAAGTCAAACGCAGCATCAAAGTATCCGGCTGCCTCGGGTGTGGTCACGTCCCGGATGAATATGGCCAGGACACGGCCAGGGTTGGCCAGGGCCAGTTCCGTGTATACTTCGAGGTCCGCCTCGCCACTGTCGCCGACCAGAAGGAACTTTCGATGTGGGAAGTCCTTGACGAGGCGGTTCAGGGTGGACTTTTTGCGCTCCGCCACCGGTTCAAATATCCCCTGCAGCATTCCACTATACTGCTTCAGGTGGAGGGATCCCGCGGGCAGGCCGGCAATCTTGAAGAAGCTAGCCAACACAGGGAACAACTGCCACGGGCTGTTGGAGCAATAGTGCATGCTCACGCCCAGCCGATGCATATCTGTATACCACTCCCGCACCCCCTCGATGGTCATGCCGTCGAGATCTCGCACAAATGTGTTGCGGAAAATTTCCCGAGCGCCGGCTGATATGTTGGAGCGTTTGATTGTATCGTCAATGTCGCTGATCAAGCTGACGCCTGCCGGTTCCGTGATTTTGACTTCTTGCGTGGTCGACAGTTTCTCGTTTGCGAGCACTCTAACATGCGTGGGGATAAACTCCAAAGCTGCTCGAATATTGAAGTGGCCGGCATCGTCTGTCAAGATGGTCTTGGATTGGGACTTGGTATCATTATAGAAGAAAATAGTGATGGGCATGGCCACCAGAGGGTTCGTCAGGAACGGAGCCACGCGAGCCATCAGGTTGGCGTTTGCCACTGCCAGCTCCGCATCAGTGAGCTCGCCCAGACCAGACGGCTGTCGAGCCGGCATACTTGGGCTTGATGGTGCGGAATCAGGCGTGTAGCTGCCGCGTGGTCCAAAACGAGAAGCCGCTTCAACTCCTAGTGTGTTGGGATCTTGCGATGGTTCGCTGTAGCCTCCTGCGTAGGCGACTCGTTTTTCCTCCTGTCCGCGCTTCTCAATCATGGCCGCCTTCTGTGCAATCTTTTCCTCGTCGTGGATTTCAGCGTGTATTTGGTGCTGCGTCTTGGGTTCGCCACTAGCCGGTCCGTATCCTTGATCCGTCTTGGGGGCCGATATCCCGCTCAATTGGCGGGCCAAGCCGATGAGAATGCGATTCCTCCTTGTCATGGGACCAACATGTGGTGAGTATATCCAGCCCCTAACATCAACGTCGACAACCGCTTTCTCGTCCTCGTGCTTCTCCCACTCTTGCCGCCACCACTCTTCATTCCGTAATTCCGGCTGATCCACCGGTTGCTTCCGCGGCATTCGTGTCCAATCTTGCTTGATGTGTCTCTTGGCATATGACGGAAACAACACCATCTGTTCGTTTCCCTGCGAGGCGATGGCAACATCCGGGAAGGCACCGGGGATGTGAGTGCTCTGGTCCATTGCAAAGTCGTCGATACCTCTGCCTCTCGATTGCACATACGAGTCCCGCAGCTCCGTGACAGCTTGCTGTCCGCTGCGGTAAAGGTTTCCTGCCATGGCCGCAAGCTTCCTCCGCCTGTAACCTCTTTCCCCTCTCTCTCCAACATCCTGCGATGCATCACTTGTGCCGGGGCCATAACCGCTGGCCGTCAGCCCCGCGAAGGAGGGCATCTTGTTCGAATTTAAAGACCTCGGCGTTGCCGCCTTGACATGTTTGAAGGGCAGCCGCAGTCGTCTCCGCGGGCTGCTTGCGACACCAGTAGCACGAGGGGCGGAATGAGAGTCTCGAGCACCGAGCAGAATCCTCCGGCTCTGCCTCGCGACCAGGTCCAAAACGCGACCCTTATTCGCGCGTTTAACTTGGCGACGGACCAAGTAGCGGTAAATACGGGATTGAAGCTTGAGCTTGACAAGTGGAAGCGTGTCAAGGTGGAAATCAAGCAAGCGTTCGCGGTACCGATCTCGGACAGCCTGCGGGAACAAATATCGAACAAGGCTCTGGCTATGGCGGGGATGCGGGCGAAGACGGCCAAAGAATAAGAATCGAAACGGCGCCAGTTTGTTTGAATTATAAATCAATGGCTAATTCTCTTCCTTTTTATGTCCTTGCTACCCGGCTGGTTATATAGCTTCTTGATACAGGGTTATTTATACAAGCCGGCCTTCCTGTTGGCTGAGTGGCGAAAGGGTGTCAAATGCTCAAGTTGGTGCACATGCATGTCCCGTCCTCAAGCACCCGTTGCTTGGCCCGGCAATCCTCAGACGAACCACGTCTTGACGGGACCTGCGGCTGCTTCCAACGGCAATGAGATGGGATAATAGGGCCACCGGCTCGTGCATGGGGCATCAGAGAGATGCGCGGTGATGAGAGCACCTGACTCTCGTCAAGTGCGTGTGGCCACGGCACGCTGGTTTGATGAGGTGCGTGGTCTGTTGCGTGCGCGAGTGTCTGGTCCAGCCAGTTCGCAGAGTGTAACGCGGTGACAGGATGGCCGGGATGAGCAAGACAAGGGGTGATGGCGTAGGGCAGAGTGTGTGTGACTGCGGTGGCAGAAGCTGGCCAAAGACAGTGAAGAGCCCTGGCTCGTGACTGCGTTTGCTGGATGAGAAGTGAGAATGAGAGGATGCTTGAGTCCTCTCGCTTCACGCCCCACTTGGGACAGCCGAGGGTGAGCCACACACAGTCACCAGGAGTGCTGATGTAATCAGCTCATCAAGTTCAAACATCTACTCCGTACTGCAGCCGATACCATCCATACACACACAACTCGCCATTCCCAATGCAAAACATGCCGTGTGCTTATATAACTACAGTACATGCAATGCGACTGTCCTCTTGATTACCGAGTCTACCTCTCTACTTTACCGCTTGCCTTTGCCTTTACTTTTTGCCTTCGCCTTCGCCTTCGCCTTCCCAGGGCCCTTGCCCTTGTGCGCCTCTGCATCCCCTTTGCCCTTTTTCCATAACCTCCCCTCTGATCGCATGGATTTGGCGTCAAGCGTCTTCTTGTCCTTGTTGCTCAACTTTCCGCTACCCTTTTTCTTCAGTGACTCGCGCAAACCATTCAGTTCGTCCTTGCCAGCTTGTTTGGCCTTCTTCTTGTCGTGCTCCGTCTCAAACCAAGTCCTCTTGGGTCTTGACTTGATTTCTGCCTCGTGTTCTATCAAATTTTCGCCCTTCTTCACTTGCATCTCTGCTTGTGCCAGTTGCCTCTCCTCCTTTTCTTCCTGCATAATTTCGTCAATCTCGTCTTCCATGCCGTCGATTTCTTCTTGAAGCTTGTCTGCATCAGCGGGGGCGATGACTCTGCTCGTAATCTTTGCCCCTTGCGCCTTTCCAGCCTTGACGGCAGCCTTGACAACTTTGCGATCGCCCTCGGCTGCCAGAGTCACAGCTGTGCCCTTTCGCCCCGCGCGAGCCGTACGTCCAACACGATGAACGTAAATTTCGAGCGATTGAGGTGCTTCGTAGTTGATGACTGTGTCGACGCCCTTGATATCCAAACCACGCGAAGCCAGATCTGTAGCCAGCAGATACGACACTTTACCATCTCTGAATGCTTCAACACTGGAAATACGCTATAGAGTAGCCAGTTAATATCCTAAAATCGTGTACTGTTGAAAAGGGCACCACTAACCTGTGATTGGTTCATGCTACCATGTAACTCGGCGCACGATAGCCCCAGCAGACCAAAAATGATGCGCGCCCTGTGAGCTTCCTTCTTCTGGCGGAAGAAAATGATGACCCTCTCGTGGTAAAAGGTCTTACAAAGATGTGCAAGATATCCCATCCTCTTGTCTTCTCTCCCTGGTCGTAGTCGAACAAACTCTTGTACCAATGTGGTTACAGTCTTCTTTTGCGAATCAACCATGAGCCGCACTGGCTTATTTAGCCCAACCCGGATAAGACGATCAACAGTTGAGGTCATAGTCGCCGAGAACAACATGGTTTGTCTTGATTTGGGCAGTGTTGTGAGAATCTCATTCAGTTCGTCGGCGAATCCATCCTCCAGCATGCGATCGGCTTCATCCAGAACCAAGATTTCGACAGTGTCGACGTTGAAACTGGCCGAGTTCCTCATGTGATCAATAAATCTTCCTGGTGTGGCAACAATGATATCAGGCCGCAGACGAAGCTCAACCTCTTGTGCCTTTAGGCTGAGACCACCGACGGCCAGGGAGAATTTGATGTCAGTATAGCGAGCCAGCTTCGTGCCCACATCGTGACACTGCATTGCCAATTCACGGGTGGGTGTGAGAACGACGACACGAGTGGTCGGGATTTTTTTAGGGCGGAACAGTAATCGCTCCAGAATAGGAACAAAAAAGGCACCAGTTTTTCCGGAACCAGTAACGGCACCACCAACAACATCCTTTCCCATGAGAGCGATAGGGATGGTTTTGGCCTGTATAGGAGTGGGCTTGGTGAAACCAACAGCGGCGAGGCCACGAAGGATCGGCCGAGACAATGACATGCCTTGGAAGGAAGAGAGGTCCACTATCTTGTCCGACTTTTGCCGTTCTTCGGGAGCAAAGAATTCGTCTCGTTTTGCTTGCTCCTCGGCATCTTCTTCATCGTCGGTGGCATCAGAGGCGTCATCCTCAGGATGAGCCTCCGGCGTAGCCACAGAGTCGTCGTCTGAAGCGCGATCGTCGTCATGGTCGTCTTCATCAACATCAGACTTGTCCGAGGCATCTGTGTCATCTCCATCGCCGCTGCCGTGTGCTTCTTCCTCATTCTCTTCGTCCTCGGAGTCTGCATTCATGCCAAAGGCATCATCGGCCAGCACCTCATCATCGCCGTCGTCCAGAGCCATCTCCAAGTTATCCTCAGTCTCAGCTTCCTGGTCGGCATTTTCCAAAGTCTCACCGGCCTTCCCATTCTTCTTTTCTCTTCGTCGCCGAATAATCTCTTCCAGGTCAACACCCTTCTTCTCGGTCATCCCCTTTTTAGCACCTTCAAATCCCCAGCCTTCGAATTCCTTGTCGCCAAACTCCCCAGCGTCGTCTGCGACGAACTCAAAGTCAGAGTCCATGGCGCCATCGTCGTCATCCTTGGAGCCCCAGATGCCCTGAGGCTCCTCTTCGTCAGATGCCTCATCGTCTTTGTCAACCTTTTTCGGCTTTTTACTGGTCTTGGTCTTCTTTTTGGGTGGATGAACGGGTGCTTCTTCCTCTTTGAAGGGATCCTCGTCGTTGTCGGAAAGTGTCGTGATGAAATCGTCATCGACTGGCTTTCTTTTCTGCGGCGCCATTTTGACAATCCCAGCAACTTCTACACAACGGTAGATTGGGGATATCGGGAGGAAAGTGGTTGTTCAGAGCTACAGGTCTAAACTACCTTTGGCTTTTGTCTCCTCTGGCGGGAAGCAAAAATTCCCCAATGGCTGGTTCCTGGGGCCGGTGGTTCGCCCATGGTTTTTCTGCCGGGTTGAGCTTTGAAAATTTTGGCGGTGAGGGGGAATTGCCCAGTTGGGCAGTACGCCGAGCTAGGCCGTTGCTCTCGGGGCTCTCAGGAACAAGACGCGATGAGAGGCACCCGTTGTTTTCCCGACCGCCAACAGTTCTCTTTGTCTGAGTGCTCAGGGTCCACGGTTGATTGGACGACGCTTGTCTGTTCCAGACTGACAACTTTTAGTAAACGATTAATTTCTCCAGCTCCCCTTTATCGCTGCCTTGTGCATATTGCCTTCCTTGGCACAACAGCATCTTCTTCGGCTATTTATTTATTTATTCTTTTGATCTGCCTCGATACCCGCTGCTTCTCCCGATCTGTGGCTTGCTTGTTGCCACCGAACTGCGCAAGTTCCCGAGTTTTCCATTGACGGAAGCCTCGCACAAGCACGCCCGTTCCGCCAAAACAAACAGACAGTCGACATGGGTGAATCCAGGTTGGTAGCAGCGCGCGCCGGATCCCGCAGCACGTACGGGCAGCCACTCACTAACCGCATGATACAATCAGACAAGAACTTATCCAATGGCTCAATAGCCTTCTCCAGCTCAACATGACGAAGGTCGAGCAATGTGGCACTGGGTGAGTCCTGACGGCTGGATGGATGTTACCCCTCCCCCACTCCATGATGCAAACACGATGGAGACGCACGACGATGCCAGCAAAACGAACACCATGCGGACCAGAACGGAATACCGTCTAACCAGAATTTCTATGCGGATAGTGCTGCTCTGTGTCAGGTTTTCGACAGTATTTATATGGACGTACCTATGTCCAAGGTCAAGTTCAATGCCAATGGCGAATGGGCGTATGTGCAGAATTTTAAAGTGTTGCAAAGTATGAATGCCATCCAAGTCCCATCCCGGCGTAATAGTGCCCGGGAGACATCGGTTCTGCGATTACATGTGTTGACGAACTGGATCAGATTTATTTGCCAAGCACCAAATCGACAAGCCGATCCCCGTCGAGGCACTCATCAAGTGCAAGATGCAGGATAACCTGGAGTTTCTGCAGTGGACCAAGAAATTCTGGGATCTAAACTTCCCCGACCACGACTACGATGCCGTTTCACGGAGAAAGGGAGGGGCTCTCCCCAGCAGTAACTCTGCGGCGCCCAGAGCTCCCGTCTCAGTTGGCGCTGCTCGGCGAGGCGGTGCTGCTGCTGCTGCCCCGCGGGTTGCTAAGGCTGCAGGTGCTGGCCCTAACACGGTTGCTCTGCAGGCAGAGAATACAACACTCAAGGAGACTGTTACAGGCCTTGAGCGGGAGCGAGATTTTTACTTTAGCAAGCTTCGCGATATTGAGCTTCTGATTCAGCAGGCTGTTGAGGAGGATCCTGAGATCGAGAAGGCAGAGGATGGTCTGGTCAAACAGATCCAGCTTATCCTGTACTCCACGGAAGAGGGGTTTGAAATTCCTGAGGAGGGCGAGCCGCTTGATGACCAGGAGACATTCTGAGCGCTGCTAGATATTGCATGTTCATGTTATATGGAGGGGGGGCTTAGGGTGGCACTCAGGGCTGTGGACTCGGATGAATTGGCCGAAGCGGGAAAATGGCGATGCGGTTCTGCGGCTGTTACATGACGCTTTATGACTGGTATTGATGAGTCAATGAGGGGGGCTGGATTCGCGATATACCTTCCTTCTCTAGAAGATGTTATCAGACTGCCCAAATAGATCAAAGCAATGAATGATGTTGGACAGGTAATGAGCAGAGTTGGAAACTGACACCTAGGGTTCGTGTACCAAGTACGCGGTGACTGTACTGTTTCGTTCGCGTTTCTCTCGAAGCGATGTGGGCCCCAAGTGTGGGCTTGATGGTATAGGGTACGAGCAAAGGTGAAAATTGGCGTCGGAGTTTCTTGACTTCCAGTTTGGTCATTGTGAGGGTTATTTAAAAAAAAACTGTCTTGTTGCTTTGGAGTATTTCTTAGGGTAATACAAGCTGCATTCCGCTGAACACGCTGTTTGGGGAGATGATTGGAGTTAGTGAAATAACGTCAGGTGCCTACAAGACGTACCAACAATTAAAAGACCCAAAAATAAAAAATATAATCAAATGACAGAGACCAAGTCTACCTCCAGCTAGCTTATTTTTTTTCTTTCCTTGCTTGTCTTCGTGTCATCTGTGTTCGCCTGCTCTGCTGCCCACGATGCCCGATCACGTTAACCGAAACAAGGACTGTGTCGCATGCCCAAGTCATTCACAGCAGTAGGCGGGAGATGATGATGGGCCGTACTCGACCTGTCACGGCCATCCAATGGTGGCTAGCTTAAAACCCCACATCAGCTGCTCCAGAAGGCAGACCCAGCCAACCGGGTCTCAGGGTTTGAAGTTGCGCTACGGAGTAGGCATAGCCTCTCCACACTGGGGGTTTGCCATTTCTAGTCTGGTCGGACTGCTTTAGTCGAGATGCTTGCATCATCGCCGCGCACTTACTTCACCAACTTGATGACCTCACAAGTCACAACGATATCTTGGCAGGCAGCGAGACTCGAGCCTTTCACAGAGTATATTTTTGTTCCGATTCTAGATCGAGTACTTTGGACTGCGAATCCGCACATTCTATCTGTTGAATTGTTTCACCCGTAGTACGGAGTGCTGACGTTCAAAGGGTGACGCAACTTAGGCCCAAAGGGAATGAACACAAACCATCAACATTCTTTGCCGTGTTGACACTGAACCACTCGACAAAAAACCCCGACGCACGCTTACTCGACTTTTATCGCGGCACATCATAGAATAGAATTGCATCACGGGAGAAGACCCAACAAACACACAGATTGCGGCCATGGCTCCGCCACCCGAGATTGCCATCCCGTCCACGAGTGTCTCTGAAGACGTCGGTTCCAAACCATACACACTGTACAACATCACACTCCGCCTACCCCTACGGTCGTTTGTTGTGCAAAAGCGCTACTCGGACTTTGCAAGACTTCACAACACGCTCGTCCAACAAGTCGGCGTGCCACCGCCGGAGCCCCTCCCCGGCAAGCACTGGCTCAAATCTACCGTGCGATCACCAGACCTCACGAGGAACCGACAAATTGCCCTGGAGAAGTATCTACGGACGATTGCAGAGACGCCGGACCGGCGATGGAGGGACACTTCTGCCTGGCGGGCGTTTCTGAACCTGCCCAGCACCAGCACCACCAGCTCGGCGGTGTCGGCGCCGGGAATGGCCAGACCGGCTGCCACGGGAGCAGCAGATCCCCAGACATGGCTGGACATGTACAGAGAGTTGAAGCAGAACCTGAACGAGGCAAGACAGTGTCTGTCACGGAGAGACGCGGCATCAGACAGCGGCAACAGCACAGCAGCGGCAGAGGCGGGCTCAGCAGCGAGCAAGGTGCTTTTCAAAGCCGGCATCCTCGTCACCAGCTTATCAGACGGCCTCCGCAAGATGCAGGAATCCAACAGGCTGGGCGAAGGCGAGCTCCGCCGCCGCCGAGATCTCGTATCCAACGCACGCATGGAGCGCGACGGCCTCGAGAAACTATCCACCGCCCTATTCACCGCATCGGCGTCGGGCAGCAACCCCCGTAATGGTGGCACCAGCAGCGTCAGCGCGGCCGCCGCCGACGAAAAATCAACCCTTCTCAAGAGCGCCCGCCCCACGACGGGCCGCGTCCTCGGCGCACCGCTCCCCGAGACGGCGCAAACCAGGGAACTCGACAATGAGGGGGTTCTCCAGCTGCAGAAACAGGAAATGGCCTCGCAGGACCAAGCCATCGACCAGCTCGCCGATGTTATACGGCGCCAAAAGGCCCTGGGCATCCAGATGAAGAACGAGGTCGATGCGCAGACTGAGATGCTGGCCGCGCTGAACGGCGATGTGGACAGGGTGAATGACAAGCTGGGCGTGGCCCAGAACCGGATCAAAAAGCTGTGACTAGTCTTTATGATGGTCGTGGTGAGGATCATCATGGGGACGTTGGAATCCGTCGTCTGGACGGTGTGGATGGGCAGGAGAGTTTCCGAGGGGCTCGGATGGCTTGTCGACGTGCTGCTGCACATTTTGGGGCTAGGCTAGGCGGGTCAGTGAGATGCGTGCTCTTTCTATATCCCGGCGTTCTTTTTTCGTTTCCCCCGATTTATGGGCGAGCGCTTGCCTCCTGGAAGGCTAAGTGAGGGGTTTGCCGCGCCGTGATTCTGATGGATTCAGTGATTTAGGTAGGTAGCATTACGGCAGAGTAGCAACATGGATATCATTTATCAGGTTAAGGAGATTTGCAGATTCAAAGCAGTGAATAGCCGGCTGACTAGGGGACGCGATTAGGGGAACGCCACTGACATATCGACTGGTGGTTGAATTTTGGCACGGGACTTTGAGAGTATCTTTTGCGTATGACCGCTCTTGAAAAAAAGATGTGAGAAAATTGTTGTAGCGGTATGCACAGTAAGTCTTGGACGACAAGTCATGGCAACCATTGGATGGTCGGGTGGTATGTACATACAGGGCTGAATGATGCCTACTGGTGTCGATTGCGGATCTCATTCAAGCCCAACGTTGGATGAGCTGATAAATGCATGGGCTCCTGAAGGGAGCCACGGGTTCACAGATCAGTACATACACTCATGACTCTTGCACTTCATGTTGGTCGACAGCACCACGAAGTAGTTTCCACGTCACATGTGCACCGTTACCTGCTTGAAAGCTGCATGTGGGATATTGTCCGCGTCCAAGCAGTACATGGTTTGTGGGGAAGCCGGCCTGTCTCGTGCGGTTCGGGGCTTCCGGCTGGTTGCCGCCAGCCCAGGCAACAAACAACCACCACCAATACACATGTACCCTATGTTCG